GCTTTATAGTCAAATAAATTGCGATACGAATATATTTGCTCATAACACGATTTATATAAACCAAACGCTGAAGCGGTTTTGTTTTGTTTAGTTATTCATTAAGAGTTGAATCACAGGATAACCAGGCTCTGAATTTAAAAGTCATCAATATTACGGGCTATGTTTGCATATGTTGCTGAATGAGGTGTAAACAACGAAAACTGAATAAAGTCTTTTTGATTATACAGGGTGTCCCAAAAAAGTATCCTCTATACAAATTATCCTATTGTCATAATTTGAATGCCTGAGCACTATGCTGAACACAAGAGTGCGTAAACACAATGAAATTGAATTTTTAATTACCAGTCGCATAAAATCCTGTGCTTAACAACAATAGGACAAATTTCTATAGAGGGTACTTTTTTGGGGACACCCTGTATACGCAGCATTGAGTTTGTTTACTTCTGTCAGTAATTACAATGTATATAATTATTCTATATACGTACTTATACGCATAAATGATCATAATTGAACACCCGAAATACTGGAGATTTTGAGGTCATGTGACCGGCCGATGCCAGGGCCATTTTCGCTGACCGGAAGCAAAATGCCCTGGGTACGAGGTTGCTAACAGTCCACAAATCCCACCTACTAACGGTCCCTAAGTTCCACTTACTAATGCATGATACCCAAGTCCCATGTACTAATCGTCCCCAAGTCCCACCTACATGAATCAGGAGCAAAAATTATTGAGACAACCGCATAAATGCCCCCCCCCCACCCTCACCCCCAATTGAATGCTGTGTGAATGAGTGAAAAGAGAAAATTCAACCCACTTTTTCCAACATTGATCATGGGGGCAGGTGGAGCCAGACGTACTGTAAAATTGCCAAAAATGTGAAAAGTCTCGTTATTTTTGCACGCGATTATCTGAGATGGAGCTGCCTGAGGGTTAGCTGTCTAAAATTTGAAATTGTGCCAAACTCTAGCGATCAAGTTGACATGAAATTGACATATTTCAATCAATTAACCGAAAGTTTTTTGTCTCCCAAAATGTAGAAATTCTGCAAGGAGGCTGCGCGGGGGACTGGGCAAGAATAAAGAAGCTTTTCTAACTAATTTAAATTTTTTACTATCATTTACTTACTAGAGAAAAATCTTTGGGGAAAATAGACGAGCTGTAGGCTAAATACGATCTATTAAAATACTTTGCGATATATAGTAAGACGGTCATCCAATAAGCCATAAAAATGTACGTCTTGTAATGTCTCTAACGCCCTTTCAAGCTCAATTAGCCATCATTTCCTGAGGAAGGAGTCATTATATGACAGTTCCTCAGCTTAGCCATATGACGAAAAATAAGAAAACTTTGTCATTTATACTGCAGTATGTGCTGTTGTGCTTGTGGCATGTTCATCAACTAATCTAAAGTGATTAGTTCATGTAAACTTTATGCACTGGCTTCATTAAAGCGTAGTTTCCATTTGGTCGTTAGTTGTCGCTGGCACGACAAGTGGCTGATGTAATAGAGTGTCAACAAAAAAGTCTGCAATCATTAAGACTGATTTGCATATCACATAAAAAGACTACTGATATTAGACTATTTCACATCTACCGATTGTCGTGCCAGCGACAACTAACGACCAAATGCATGGAAACTAGGCTTAAGCAAACGCTGACAGGTTACACACGTTACACCCATTGTTTTTAATATATATATATATATATATATATATATATATATATATATATATATATATATATATATATATATATATATATATATATATATATATATATATATATATATATATATATATATATAATTTAAATGTATTAACACTCTTGTAATGATGGCTACTAGAGTGTGTATTATATAATTTCCATACCCAGCGCAAGCAGAAAGATGTTGTCTGCCGCGGCTGGTAGATTTCACTTCGCCTTCATCTTTTCTAGTCGATTTATCGCCTTGGCTAGCCATATTCTTTAAATTTCAACCTTCGACAAGCAAATACATGTGAATAATATATATTTTATACTTAAATATTTTCACTATTAAAAACAAGGAATGATTTTGTTTCGTATACAAATTTCAAATTTCTGAGTCGTTTCGCACATGTCTCGAACTCGCTGGACCAGTGCGAAATTTTCCTGCGTCCTGATTACTACGTTTACCCGAGTGTCAGGTTATTGCGCATGCGTTCGTTTCAAAGGTTTGGTAAACACCGAGCTAAAGCGTCCCACATGTACCACAACTGGGAACTACAACGTACTTATATACGAAAATGTTACTTTTATTTGTGTGTGGTAGTTACCGATCATAGGATCTTGCGAAAAGTGTGCAAGGCATAATGGTTTGGGGGCCGCCGGCACTCACACCCCGTCGTTCGTTCGATACCGGTTGGTAAGACAACCTTGTACTCAGTGCTAGTAACTCGCGGAAGCCCTGGGTACGAGGTTGTTGGTAAGCCATCTGTCTCGCCACTCGCCTCTGACGATAACATTGAGTTTAGCCGAAATCTAGCTTAACGGTTAACATGGCGTTCTAGCGGCTAGCACGAGACGGACTTGACCGATGGGGCACTTTTCTTTTTAAAAATATGATTTGTAATTTTATAAAACCCTTTGATAAAAAACAGATCGTCTGTAAATTTACCGATCATTTGAATTGCGACTAAAATGTTAGCAGTGTGTTTTGTACTTTTTACTGACCTAACTTATAAAAATCTAAAAATGTATCTTTACTACTTCTTTATGTCATATCATATTTAAAAACACGACTAAAAACCTAAATTAAACTATTTTAAGTTCTAAAGTTTAATTTAACGCCGGGATACCAGCCATTTCGCCATTTTGTGGATACCCGTCTACTTTCTGGTCCGCATTCATTTTAACCAAACAGATCACGATCCGAAAAAGCTCGTAATCTGATTGGCTAAAGGAAGTGATCCGTTAATCCCACTAAGCGTGAGAATGCTCATGAGCATATAACTGAATTTTGCTATATCAGTTGATAATACCAAAATCCAGTATCCTCATTAAAATGCTCATGAGCATATTACTGGTTTTTGGTACATATATGAGCGTGCTCATGCGATACCAAAATAATGTATGCTCAGCAAGCTAATATGTACCACCGTCGGAGGTGCCACAGAGGAAGAAGGTATTATTAAGTATCTTAACTACATATTGTTTATTTCAATTATAATTAGAAGAAATGTCCTCATGTGTTTCTAATCTTTTCAGAGAAAACTTGTTATTGGGTCTTCAGAGGAAGAGGACGAAGTTGAAGAGGAGAAACTCCCAAAAAAGGTTTGAACTTGTTATCTCAAATGTAAATATTATTCGTCCCATTCCCCATTGGAGCTTTTCACATCAGTCAGACTATCATTATTTACACACAGCCTTTCTTTAAATAGGAGAGAAGATCGCGACCATGCCCTGTGTACAACAAGGCATTCAAATATCTCACTGCGCACTTGAAAACTGCCGATGGAAAGACAAAGATATCGGCTGCAGATATCGGCTGCCAAACGTGCAGTAAAGAAAGGCGTGGACACCCCACCTCTGCCCTGTCCAGGGATGTTACAAGATGGTGACGTTGGGTCCACAAGCTCAACAATGATGATCGTGAATATCACAATTTAGCTGATTGAAAATATTTTCTTTCTTATTACCATACAAAACTACATCACCCTAACCCAAAACACCCACTCGTTCCTTCCAAAACACTCATTCCTTCCACTCTTTTGTCAGGTACAACAACGAGATCGCGTTGACCCGCTCCAAGGCCAGGTTTGCCGACTCGGCGATGGCAAATAAGAGGAGAAAAAAAGTTGAAAAACAACACGCTGACCCTAACCCGTCATTACACGGCGAAAACGTCGCCCATCCACCCTCGTCGCCAGAATCTGAGGTCGATGAAAGTCCTCTCGAGACGAAGCAGATCAGCAGACGATCCTTGAGGTGCCCAGAGTTCACAACCAAACGATAAGTGAAAACGAACCAGTGACAAATGCAGTATAGGCGGCGAGCTTTCACGTCAGTAAGGTGGAAGCAATTCCGTCGTGGGAACCCAAGCATTTTATTGGCTTTAGCGACGATATTGATAATGTGAGGGGACCCAGTCATTAAAATACAGAATTTTTACAAGGACACACCTTGCCTTCAGAGGCGTATTTTCGGTATAAATGCGCAGACTCACGAGAACGAGTGGCGAAGCCACGAGTTGAGCGTCGAAGACAAGAGCTTTTAAGGGAGTCTCTGAAATGGCATTTCCAGCGTTCTGAGAACAGAATTTGGAAAATAATTGGTCATTTTGCGCGGATTTACAGAAATGTTTGCGCGGATTTTCAAAACAAATCTATTTTGCTCGGATTTCCACAATTGGATGAATTTTAGCGCGGGAAATTAATTCCCTGCAAAGCTGCTACTTTACAGTCTGGGTGGAACGCAGATTTGAGTACTTTCGTTAACCCTGGTTTTCACTAGCCGTAAACTTAAGCGTAAGCATCACTGATTTGCTGGAACAAGCGTAAACGCAAGCATAAAACAGAAGTTTAACAATATTAAAATCTTCCTTTCCCTACTGCATACGCCTTACGCTTATGCTTGCGTTGCAATGAAAACCAGGCTTTAAAGTTGTCATAAACAGAGAACTACAAACGTTTTGGAAAACCTGAATATAGCTGAAATAGTTTCTACTTTATACAATCAAATTGTTATAACCCTTAAAACAAGTAATGGTAAATAACTCAGGGCGCTGTTGTGTTTTACTACTAAAGAAATATGATTTTTTTCCGTAATCGTGAGCCTTTTACCTATCCTTTCTTTAATTCTTATGTCAATTGTTAAGTGTCAACCAAAAGACGGTTTCAAGTGATGTCCTCCTTGTCTGCTTTCCTCCGACAACTCTGACATGTCGATCCCGATCATCGTTACCAACGCTGTTTTCAAAAAAGACACCATTGAACCACCGCTTTTGTGTCTTGTACTTAGACGATGCACTTGGTTTCCTCTTCTTATCTGTTAAACAGTATTCGAACAGCAGGTCTGGCATCATAACTCGCAAGCGGTGGAAGATTGAATCCAATGAAAATGTAGTAGTGAAGGGTATCTGTGTTAAGTCTGCTTCTCGCTGGTGACTTCAGGATATTGTATTTTGATATCAGTCTCTCCACATCAGCCGAGTGAGGTTTTGCTTCAATTACTCTTGCCAAGGCAATTGCTAAAGTCCTCATTTCTTCCATACCAACAATTTGCTTCAAGACGCTTCTAGGACCTTCATCCTGAATTGATGGGGTTGCTACTGCTTCTCGGTAGCTTTGACAAAACTCAAATAGGTCACAGTCAGGAATAATGACCTTGTGACATGCTCTAAGTTCATCATCGCTGACATCAACCTTCATCTGGGCAAGAGGCGCTAGATCTTTCCAATTCCACTCGTCAGTTTGAAGCCCTTCTGAAAGAAATTTCTCTAAAGGCAGAAGAGTCTCGTTTGTGACAGCTTCGATTTTCCGTGAGTCAGTAACATACAAATGATGCTGCCTTCGCCTTCTGGTTCGTGTTTCTAGTTTTATCCCGTGAAATTCCCACAGATTCTTCACCTTCGTTTTCGGATTCGTCACTTTCGTGTAAAATTACTTTAATTGTAGAAAGAAACAACTCCTCCCAGCCACCTATAACAGGCTTCTCCTTAGCTGTGGCTAACCTTGCAAGAAACTTGTCTCTTTCTTTAGCAAGATCAAAAACTAAAACGCTGTCGCTTTGAAGCTTCATTTGGAATCTTGAGTATAACATGACAACACCCATCAGAAAACAGCTCAGATGCAATCTGTCTTTTTTCAACAAGTTCTTTAAATAACCATCTGCATCTGGACTTGTCTTCAGATACATTAATATAGCCCTCATGTTTGTAAGAATCGAACGCAGAAGTTGGCTTGTGTACTGAGACCAACGTACTTCGAAGTACTGAGGAAGCCTGAGAACCTTGAATTTGTTTTCAGTTGCCACTTTATGAAGTTCCCGTGTCCGGCCACCAGAGGAATGGAAATATGTCGCAAGTGCTGCAGCATCCCTAATCAAGTAGTTGACCTCAGCAACTGAAGAGCAAACTGAGTTCCAAGCCAGGGCACTACAATGCACTGCACACCAGATTTTAAGCAGGGGTACATCTTTTCCATTTTCCTGAAGCTGACGCATCTGACTGAGCCTTGCCCATATCCCCGATCGTGCTCCTGAATTAAGATTTGTTCCATCGGATGTGTTATATGTTGTGTTACATTTGTTTATATTACGATCGGACTGTTATCGGGACAAATCACCTTTTGGAGTATGGGATTCAAGAAAAAGAAAACAACATTGTTTTGGATACGGACTCGATATATAGAGTAAAAGATAGCTTTGTAAACGGGTTGTTTCAAGTAAATAAAGTATTCAAGAGTTCAGTACAACAATGGCGACGAGTTCCGAAGCCGTTACGGCTACAAAAGGACCCAAGCTAAAAATTTTACCCTTCGATCCTCACGGAGATCGGTTCGAACGGTTTGAGAGAGACCTCAAGTATAACGGATGTGACCCTAGTAAAACACCAGAAATAGCCAAAATGGCGCTGTCAATATACGCAGGCACCGAGATGGAAGACCTGCACGACACTCTGCCAGAACCAGGCAGACCAGAAGGCACAGAGGAGGAAAATTGGATCGCGTATGAGCAATCTAAAACTAAATTGAAAATACATTTTCCCCCAAAACAGTGCAACGACTTTGCTATCTTTGAATTACTCCGAATGAAAATCGAATCGTCAGAAAGTATTACAAGTAATGCGATGAGGCTACGTAAAGCAGCGAGCAAGTGCGATTTTACAAATTGGTCGGCGGAGAAAAAGATCAAAAGCCTGATCATCAGCAATATGCAAGATGACACCCTTCGCCTAAAATTTTTACGGAAGTAAAAATCTTAGATATTGCTAGAAAGAAGGAAGATGCTGTGGCCCGAAGTAAAGTAATAGACAGGGACTCTCGACAGGTAGTCAACAAGGTAGGTGCCAAACGAAATCAACCGTTACAACAGAAGTGTACCACAGACCAGTGCAATCGGTGTGGACACAAGAACCATTTCCCTGCTTCGGAGTGCCCAGCCATATCCAGAATCTGCAATTACTGTAAAGAGAAAGGACACTATGCCAGCAAGTGCTTCAAGAAACAAAAGGAAGCAGGAATCAAGCGCATCGAAGCAGAACCCCAAACTGACACCGGAAACGACACCAACTCCGACACTGATGAGTATGGCACAGCCAAGATTGAATTAGTTAACAATCTTGGGATGAGGGAAAAGCCATCGCTGATGAGAGTCCACACTAACGACCAAGAAGTTATGTGGCAACCAGATACCGGGACCCAAAAGGACGTCTGGGACAGGCCCGTAGCTGGGGGGAGGGGGGGCTGGGGGGGGCAATTGAGATAAAGGAGTGCCCCCCCCCCCCCC